AGAGTCGATCATCAGATATTGTCCAAGATTAACCTTCAGGGTAGATATAGCTCACTCACACTGAGGACCTATCCACATATTCATTTACCCAGAATGCTATGTTTGTAAATAATATGGCTCCGTCTGTGTTAAAATATGTTTTTAAAAATTTACAAAACTAAACAGCCTACAGTATTTTTAGTCTTTAAATGTTTATCAAATAAAGTCTAAGGTTACAACTAATCAGGGATCCCTTTCAAAAGATCAAATGTCTTGTTTTGTCTTATTTAAAAATAGATTTCAGCTCAACAAACCACAAAGGTGTTGCGGTTGCCGTGGGTGTGTGCTTGCGACAGGTCCAGACGTCCAGGATCCACGGCCCCCAGCTCGCCCAGACACTCCCCGCAGAGGAGCCGGGCCTCCGGGGATGAGTCCTGGCAGCCCTTCAGCAGCACGGACACCAGGCTGGAGATGACCGGCTCCACCGCCTCACTCGCGCACACCTGCCGCAGCAGCCATTCCTGCAGCACACAGAGACATGTTTGTGGTGCYTTTTTTTTTTTTTTCACRTGGAGGGATGATGCTTCCTCTAACGACGTGTTGTGTGTTTGTGCACCTGGTTGCTGTGCATCATGTCTCTGAGGCTGGTCAGCGCATGGATCCTTACGTCCACGTTCTCGTGCTGAACGGCTCTCATGGAGAGCTGCAGGGCTGCGGCCAGGTCGCTGCTGCTGGATGTCAGCTAGAYGGGAAAAATACAAWTAAAAACACTAAATTATTTAATGTTTGTCCTTCTACTCAACTATCATCATAACCTGAAGACAAACCTTCTTGTAATTTTGCAGGACTGTGTGAATATCCTTCAGCTCAGAGTGGTCCGGTAGAAAATAAATCTCATGAAGGTAGTCTTTGACTTCTTCTCTGTGGTGATAGGAGTGAGATAGAAGTGAGAATTAYAGATCTGCAGGCAGTAAAAAGAACTGGGGCACTTTAAGATCAAGTTAAAAATAAAATAAAATCTCAGTAGAGCAGAGCCATTTAACGAGCTATAATAAAAGCATAATTAGTTTAGCTTAGCATGTCTCTTTTGTGCCTGAAAGTAAAGTTTTTTTCTTTCAATTTGCCAACAGTAACCAGTGTTTGTTCATCTTAATAAAATAGTCATAAAATAGTCAAAGTCTATTTTTTGGCAAAATTTATGGTTTTGCCTAAATAATCTCAGTGATAAAACTGCCTACRCCCTCAGATTAATTCTACCTCTTTAAGATAATATCTTAAGACTTAAAGTGCCTGTGACATGCCTATTCTTCAAATACAAAATGTCAAAGAAAGCATCTTTATACTTAAGAAAATTGACATAATACACATGATTTTACCTATTTTGTCACATAACTGGCCTATTTTCTAAGCCCTAGTTGTAAACGACTCAGCTACAAACATCAAATCTGAGCTCAGTATATGTAAAACTCATTTTTTATTGGCTAATGTGGATGTGGCGGCCATCTTGAATTGAATTGGCTCCAAAAGTTAACTGGTTGGAGACGTATATCCAATTTTTATTTCCTGAATGTTTCATTTAAATTTGTTCAGTGGCTCAGGAGGGATTTTGCTGACAAAGAGTCAACTTTTCAGCTACCTGTTAGTGGTCAGAGGATGTGTTTGGGATCAGACTCAGGTGACACTAAAGCAAAAACTAAGTCAATATTGGTGGCAGCCATCACTTCTCATTGTGTATTAAATAATTACATTCTGCAGTTTTAATACATTTCATTGGTTTATAAGATATTTTAGTAACAGACAGACACAGATAAAAAACATAATTGTGCTTCTCAAATCCTTAGTATTTTTTATAAATAACTTGCTGAAGTTGAACAATTTTCCAGTCAGTAACAACATAGATGTGACAGTTCATACATAAGATAAAAATAATAATTTACAGTCAGTTTTACAGGTGAGAAGTTGTACTGTTGGGGTTTTAAAGATGAATGTGAGMGCATCTTCTTAGACGTCACCTGTTTTCCAAGATGAGGAAACGGATGATAGCAGCAGTTTCTTTAGGCTGAAGTGGGATTAATGGGAGGAGGGCAACGATAACATGACTCAGCAGAGGGCCTAGGTGCGAAGGCTCCACACTCCTCACAAAACACTCCCACGTCCTGTCGGCAGGATATCAAAACAAACGTGTTAGATTACGTGGAACTGACATTAAAAGCTTCGTGACTTTCTGAAGATGTGGTAGTGTGAAGACGCTGACTGGCAGCAGAGCAGAGGGAAGTCTTCTCTGTAGCGCAGGCCGGTGCGGAGCGTCGTCATCATCTTCACTCGCACCGAGCTGATGTGTTTGGAACCCATCAGGCGTATCAACGCAATCACACTCATCAAAGCCTAGACATGAATCAGGCGGGCTTTTATTTTGAAATGTAAAAAGCAGAGCTGTGTTGTAACTCAAACATAACATAACTTTTGTTTGGTCGGTTTCAGATGACTCACCAGCTTTTTCCGGTCCTTTTCTCCTGCACCGGAGCTGAGCAGCTGCATATTGAAAAAAGCAAGGATCCCCAGCAGCTTTGGCTGCAAGTAATCAGCCTGGAAGTACCAGAACAGAAAGACTAGTCAGGTCTGAAGTGGTTGAGAGTTATTTTAAAGTAAATTAAAGTGCAATATTTTTTAAACTTGTGAGCCATTGTTTAAAGACGTAAAAGAGAAAAAAGTAAATCACTTCTTTGATTAATGCCAGGTTAAAACTGGGCTAAAAATTACATAAATAACTATTCAAACAAATACTTTGAACCTTTAATAGAGTATAGTCAGAAGATTCTCGCAAAGTATCAAAATAAACACAGGACTTGATTCATCTGRCAAAAATCATGTGATCARTGATGTCAGAAGCTTTGATACCTGATTCAAAGGTTTAAGAAGTGGATCATTTGTGGTGTGCTTTGGTGGCAAATTGGGGCGAAACATGACAAACCAACAAGCAGCTACTAGTGAGATATGGAGCCTGACAACATTGTTTTATGAGTTTATTTTAGAAGTTCAGAAGCACTTTTACCCCAAGAACAAAACCACAATACACTATATATAAGTTGATCTCACAGTAAACAAACTGGTAAATCTGTTAGGTGTACAAATTTTAGAGACGCCATGCCATGGCACGCACTAAAACACATTTATTCATTAAAATCATTTATCAAATAACCATAACTTCTAATTTTACCCACAAAAAATACATGTTCAAAGCAACRCAATGACAAAAACGTCTTACGATGTTAAAAAAGCAAAATAAAGTGAGTGATATACCATGTGCTCCGGGGTGGTGATGTCTCGTGGACCCTGGTACGGATCATCATTAGACGCAAAGGAAGCCAAGATTGCTAAACCGTTGAACACCTGCCGATAAATTCAGACACGAATGTGAAAAACAACTGTTTTCAGTCCACCTATGAGATTAAATACAGAGTTTACATCATGGATAAAAGGCAAGGGAACAATAAGTATGAGGATATTTGAAGCTGTCGTGCGAACCTGTTGGTAATGTTCTCCCAAACGCAGAAGCAGCTCGTTGTGAAGGCCCTGGAAGTCTTGTCGTAATAAAGAGCCAAGTTCAATTTCTGTTTCACGCTGAAGGAAGAAGAATCATCTTCAGTGTTACTCAATCAACACATAACAGGGGTGTCCTGATGCAATCTTTTCACTTCTGATACGATACCGGTATTAGATTAGATTAGAGAGACTTTTATTGTCACCGTACAGAGAGCACAATGAAATTACAGATATTGCTGCCTTGAGTACTGGCCGATACAGATATCGACTCGATATGATGTCAGAAGGAATTCTACGTACTTTTTTATCTTTTTCGTAGTGTGGAATGTTAAAAAGTCTTGATCRGATCAAACAGTGAACAATAATCAGCAGCAGTAAGTATGAGAAACACCAGTCCCATTTTTATTAATTAATGGGTTACATATTTTTCTAACTTAAACATAAGAATATTCTTCAATTAAAWACAATAAATAAATGAAAAATAAAAAGAAGACCCTGAAAAATTATCTCAATATATAAAATAAAAACAAAATGTACTTTTAAATTGTAAAATAACTATTCAGGGTCACTTTAGTTATTTAAGCTTGATCCGAGGGCAGCTGGATAGTTATCCAGAGCAGACCACTGGAATGGACTGCTTGTATCGGAGTGCTAATATCTGAGATTTTAGATGCAGGCCAATATAATCAGATGTTAAAGGAATCCCCGATTAGTTGTAACATTAGACTTTATTTGATAAACATATATTTTACCTGTAAAATAAAGACTGTAAAAATACTGTAGGATGTTCAGTTT